CCAAACTGGCAGCCCAACATTTGAGATCCTCGTGTGGCTGACATGTAGATAGTTTCCCAAATATACCTTGAGTTGCTGGACGTGGATCTTGAGGACTGCTTGCTTCTGAATGGCATTTAAATGATGGCCATGGCATTGGTCGTAACATTTGTGCTTGTTGCTTTATGTTCACATTATTATCCAGCATGTACGTGGGCGTCAACGCACCAATGTGGTCGAAGCAGAGGGTCCAACACCTTGTTGACGCCATGGTGTCCAGTTTGGGGGTGGAACATGACCAATGCGCTATGGTTGGCACGACCTTGAGAGGAGCTGCGGAGAATGGTTTGACACTGCACACAATGAGGGGCACCGGCACATAACTGTTGACTTCAGCATTGGTCGGACCAACAATAGAGCACACATCGAATGTTGGTGCAGCAACACTGATGGCTTCGATGTCGATGGTCTCTCCGCATAGAGCAGAAGCTGCCGGCTCAGGGGAGATGTCAACGGCGGCGGGACTTGGGCACTCTGTCAAACATGTGATAGGCGTCGGTGCAGCATGGTTGCTGCTGTCAATGGTGATGATGTTGTCATCTGCACTGCACTCCACTGGGGTAGTGGGCTCAAGGAAGACGTCCGTGAGGATCACCGTAGGCATGAGGACGTGAACTCCATGGCCGTCATCAAGTTTCTCCGCAGCCATTGCCGCCTCCTGCATGATTTCATCCTCCCTTATCCGGGCAAGGGACGAAGCCCCGGTGATGCTTAATGGAGATTGCGACCGCACGACATCCTTGATATCTTCCTGCAAACCCTCAATGTATTGGTGGACGAAACTCTTGATGCTCAGGTTGGGGTTGAGATCCAGCACACGATGTACGCATTCCCAGAACGCCGTCGTGTACTCGGCCACGGTTGCAGTCTGCTTCTGCTCGAGCAGCGAGCACAAGTGCAGGTTGTACTCCGGTGACACATCCTGGATGTCGAGGAGGCAGGCACGCTCATAGATGCACCGACCATGCATGGCAAGAGCCCGCGCTGCTCCGCGTCTTGATCGAAGCTGAACCACTGCCTCCACATGGTTGATTCTCTGGAACACGGAGATCTTCACCACACCATACAATGTAAACACCTGTTGCAGCGTCTCCTCAGTGACCGGGTAGTACACATGATGCACAGTGACGTGAAGAACGCCGCCGGTGAACAACTCTTCGTGGCTGGACATTTGGTCGAACACCTTGTAGGCAGGAAGTGGGTGGTGATTTTTTTCTTGGCTCTGAATACCAAATTGTCACGACCCAAGATCAGAGATGGGACGGAGAGACGGATCAGCACCAATATCTAGATATAAATTGAGGATACAAGGAGAATCTGGGATGAGAAATCAGCAAGCAAGGAGAGGAATACAGAGAGCAGGAGGTGAGGAGCAGGAGCAAGGGGGCGAGAGACTTGATAACGATTCATTCCTTCGATGCCCTCCTCCTGTGCTCGCCGGGTTGCATATGTAGCTTGTGTGAAGCCTCCGATGACCAGCCCATCTCGTAGCCGAGACCCATGTTACATACATAACGTGACAGCCCATACTGGAGGTGTTACATCATATTATCCCCCCCACCAGTGAGCTCATCCCCTTCACCTTGCCCCAGATTGAGCAGCAGGTTCGGATCCATGGCCACGGCGGTGTGAGTGCCCCAATGTAGATTCAAGACGCTTGAGGTCGGTGCTCATTGCGGCTCTTACTCTCGTGCCGACGCCATGGACGAGGTGCCTTCTCCATCAATTTTGTGTTCTCTGTTCGTGAAGCTCATTTCTTCTCCGCTGCAGGAGAGCATCTCTCTCTCTCTGATCGTGAAGCAGCCCCAATCCTAGCCCTTCTTTGGCCATGGCGACTGAGCAGGCAGGAGGTACGAACCCCTCCTCGCCTCCCAAAACCAACTCCTGGGTGCGTTCTTCATCCCCTTAGGGCATCTCCAACACTAGGCGCCAACCCTGGGCGCTAGGACTAAAATCCTATCCGATTAGTCCAGCCGTCATCACAACTCTCTATGTTCTAGAACAACAAACCAGCCCATTGTCTTGCTGGGAAGATGTGGCTTATAGACTTGGGGCCTTTGTTGATTGTTTGTTGGTGTTGGTGTGTGAGGAATTGGGTATGCCAATAGCTTTGTATACATCATTCTACCTGAGGCCCATGCATTTTATTTCTGTAACATAGTGATGGTCTGTCTGTATCAAATTGATCTTACAACATCTTAGATACTTCTTTAGTGTGTAAAATGATACCCGTGCAATTTCCCATATGCATGTTTACCCTATAGTGTCCTTTTAGCATTAATGCATGGTGGTTACTTTCTCTCTCTAATGTTGTTTTACTCATGTTATTTTGTTGTTGTTAGATTTCCTGTTGATGACAGAGGAACAAGGATGACAGTCATTCAGTACTTGAAGGACATATACAACTGCAATCTGCGTATTTTATTCAACTACATGATTGACCAACACTCGTTTCTATGGCATGGCAGCAGCTTTTGGTTCTGGCGCTCTATTCTCCATTGTAAGTGGAATGAGAACCCCAAATCCAGTTGTTAACACAATTACAGCTGGTATGGCTTTTGCAGTATAGCTGCACATGTTTCCTATGAATGAAAACCATTTTGTTCCACTTGAATTATGTCTTTAGGTTTTAGCCTTTCATGTTGCATTGCAACTTGACTGTTATATATCAGGATGATAGGGCAATCTATCCTCCGTTTATCCATGGTTGTTGTACTGTTCTAATTCTTATGGTCAATCTATCTCGATTTTAGGTTGGCAGAAATTCTCAAAGACAAAGACACACAATGAAGATATGAACTATTCTGAAATATGTTGAACCAATTAGGACTTCAAAACTATGAAAAGAATTTCAAGAAGGGTCTTCTGACTGATGAAACATTGCCTTTTATCAATGAAAGGTACATGTTTTTAATATTCCATTGAGTTCCTGCAATTACAGAAAAGAATCAATCTTTTCTATAACAAAATGGCTGTATGCTTACTGAAATTTACCATTCAAAAGTACATATGTCTTGCATTATCCTCCAGTGCACTCAGAGTTATGAATATCGCCCTTGTTCCAAGGCTTGTCATACTTGATCACATTAAAAGATTTGGAATTATTGCATAAATTTCCAGTTTCTGGTGCATTAGTTTCCTTTATCTAATATCCTTTTTTGCAATTTTGCAAAGAACCTGGGTTGATAAAATCAAATTGAAGTGATTGTTTGTCTGTTGGCACCAGTTTTTCTCAAGTTACATAAACTATGTTCTGGGAAGTCGGTCCATTCTAGCTCTTAAATTTTGTAGATGTCTCTTAGTTTGATGTTATGCACATATTGTTCGATGTCGCTTGTGTTCAGGGTTTCTATTGGGCACATAAAAATAAAGGATGACGCATGACACATTTTAGGTGTACATTTATTTCATAGATTGAAAGACAGCGGTTGTTTTAGATGGAGATGTATCGGTGATGCGATCTCCCTGGTTTGCTGCATCTATAGTTAGAGAGTAGTCTGTGCCTCTTCATCGGGCATCCTCTGGAGCTTCCCCGAGGTGACAAGTGCTTCCCACGGTGTCTCTCTCTGTTCTTATTGCTACTGCACACAAGCTACTGACCTTGCAGACCAGGACATACATCCTGGTGAGCTCCTTGGTCCTTGACTGGTCCATCACCGAGGTATGTATTCACCACTGACTTCTCTCAGATCATATGCATGCTCCTTATAATCTAGGGATTATAGTTCTTCAAAATAACTGTATTATCGGGCCGTGAGGGACCGCTGTTGCTATAGTCTTTGCATAGAGCTAGAGAAAACATATGAGTTCGACAACTTGCGTTGAGGGAAACTGATGCAAGCGAAGTGTATATACGTCACCAGAAATTTCCAAAGCATCGGATGTTCTGAGATTGATCAGGTACAGTCAAAGAGAACAGGGTCACCTGTGGTATGATTTGGCTTGGCTCACACACCCCAGGCTTTGACACGTGGAGACCAAGCATCCAATTAACCTGACAAGGCTCAGTTCTGGCTAATATGCAACACATGGATGCAGATCAATTCAACTAAACACATGCTCCCTAAGCCGCGGAACTCGCGAGTGACAAGGAAACAGTTGCTGCCACCTCGCTCCAGATCGAGCAGCAGGTCTGAGCCACGGTGGCGAGAGCGGCCCGATGTGCAGGTTCAAGCTGCGTGAAGAGGGAGGGGGTGCTCGCTATGGCTCTGACCATGGAGCCAACCCCATGGACAAGGTGCCCTCTCCGCCTCTCTCTTTGTTTTCAGTATGTAGTTGGTGACGTAATTATTGTGTGATTTATATCGATCTGACCTTGAGCTTGAAAATGTGTCCTTCAGGAAGCTAGTGAATTAGGTAAGAAGGCCAAGGAATTGAAGAAGGCATCGGAAGCCCTTCACCAAGAAGAGAGAAGTGGGAACAAAGGCAGAAAATGGCGCAAAAACATGAAGGCTGTCGAGAAGGTATGCTTGCCCTTCAAACCGATGATATGCTTTCAAGCTTTAATTGTATTCATATGAACCATTCTCTTTAATATATTGTACATCTTTCTGTGATGTTCTGTTATGCTATTAACTAATATTATGTTTAACTTTCCATCTTAATTATTAGGAGTTGTTACTTTTGGAAAATAACATGAATGCTCTAGAAGAGATGTAACTTGTGAATTCTTATATTCATTCTTTTTTATGGTTGTCACTTACTCTTGTCTTGACATCCATCATGGTGCAGGCTGAGGCTACCTGGGCTTTTACATTGCTTGATTACATTGGAAAACTCATATTCGGCATTGTTGGGTAAGTGTAAATATGTATCTGAACCGTACATTCATTCAGTCTAATGATTTGCAATTGGATTCATCTGACAATGATTTATGATCTTAGATTAATTGTATCGATTGCTTGGGTAGCACATATTATCATATAATTGTATCTTCTTTCCCGAATGAGATCTTCATAAAGATGGACAGTGTTTGGGGTACATTTCTGATCCTTGATATGGTTCTCAACTTAACCAGTTATCCTCTCTGTGAATAAACTGATTAATCTTTTTTTTTTGTGTAAACTGATTAATCTTTTGTTTTGTGTACCAGGTCTGCTTGGGACTGCTGCTTTTGCATTCTTCTGCTATCTCCTCATCGCAGTGATTGCTGGAGAAATGATGCTTGGCCTGAAATTAGTTTTCATCAGCATTCACCCAATGTAGTTGACTCGTGTCATGACACTATTTCTTTGCGCTGTCCTTTTTTTACATTTAATAACAAACATTTAACTTGTTTCAGATGGGGAGGAACGTTGATGAACTCTTTTTTGTTTAATGTTGGACTGATCCTACTTTGTTCCATCAGGTATGCTACCGATGTCTTCTGTTAGAAGTCCATGTCTTACTGTAACTTCCAATGAAATGTTTGAAGGCTGTAAATTTACAAGAATTAAAGAATGTAGTGGAGATACGTGGCAGATCTAAAGAGGTTGTTTCCAGAAAGCATTAGGACAGTAGTTTCTGTTATTAGTCAGTAATAGTGAATACTTGGAAGTGTACATCCCTGAAGCACTGACAGCATGGTATATAACTTGGGCCTGGGTCCAAATCCTCTGCTATAACTGTGCCATAGTTATGGTCACTTCTGCGTGGGTGAATAATGGCCTCTATATGAAAGCAAACTACTTGTTCTTTAAGAAGTCCTCTCTTAAATTTCCGCGCTTGTGTATTTTGCAGTGTGATTCAGTTCTGCGAGACAGCTTTTGCGTACTATGCACAAGCAACTGCAGCTCAGGAGATTTTTGGCCACACGCTGCAGTCTCTTCATGGAATTAATTAAGTATCTCTACAAGTAAGTCTTGAACCAGCATGCAGTCAGTAGAACTATCAACCTGAAGTTGTTGCTTGAACCATCATGGGTATCATTGTTGGCTACTGGTACTTGGGTTATCCTTTCTGCGAAGATAATAATTTGAAAATAACTGCCATTTTCTCTTAACCACTCTTTATTATTTGGTGCAGATTATGTGATTATTAATGTAGACCCATGCTACTTGTTTATTTTTTCGAGTGATGGTTGCTTAACCGAAATGTCTCAGCTCTTGTGAACATGCTAACATGTTACCTCTCTTCCCCAGATGGTGCAAGTACAAAAGGTGCAGAAGATTGTATGCCTGAGTGATGCTTGCTTAACCAAACTTAATTTCTTACTAAGATGGATTAAGCCTAAGTGGAGGTAGCAGGATTGATGTGTGCAAGCTAGAAGCTAAAATTTGAACTGAGATATGTTATTATTCATGCTTGCACTTTCTCAGATATTTTAGTTTATAGGAAGAATAATAGCAGAACCATTTCTTGTTGCCACACATTGAAGGAACCAACCGGAAATAACACTCGTGGTACAAACAAGAAAGTGGAAGGGGCGGGTCCCTCCCTGGCAACGCCCCAACTTCCTCTCAGGAGGCGCGCCATGGGCGCGCCCCAACCCCTAGTGTGGGAAGAAGGGGGATTGAAGGAGGGGCTCACGAAGATCCAGTAGGGCAGGTCAGTGTGCTCGGGGAGGCGTTGATGATGGCGAATCGACGGCGACGAGTTTCGGCGATCAACGGTGAAGACGAAGACGGTGGCGACGATGGGGCGGCTCCCCCGGCTCGATCTGGCCCCTAAGCCACCGTAGACGAGGACGGCGGTCCTCCTCGACACCAGCAGACGGCGAACTGGCGCCAATGGCCATGGTGGTTCGCGACGGCGTGCTCCTGTACATGGCTTGTAGCTCGATCCAGGGCGAGGGAGAGGCGAGGAAGAGGGGGAAAACAACTAGGGTTCGACAAAGGGGGAGGGCCGACGACGTTTTGTAGGGCGCCGAGTGTGTCGGATGGCCGCCATGCAAGGCATGGCACGGCCATGGCCTACAGATGGCCGCCCGATCCCCTTCTCTGCTCCTGTATTTTTTTTAGGGGTAAAAGCCTTTTATTACTCAAAGTCCACAGAAGGTGGGATACAAGTTTGGTCATGTGGCTGGCCAAGCCACACATGACGCCCTGGAAGTAACGACAAAGCGAATTTAGCTAACTTGTGGGCTTCGATATTCGCCTCACGACCTTCAAAAGTAAATTTACTAGTTGGTGTGACTCTGCTCCTAATTTCTCTGATTATCGCACCATATTGTCCTTGGCTTCCCTTAGATAGATCCTCAACAACTTGCTTGCAATCAGATGCGACAATGTAGCTCGGTTGGTTGAGATCTTCTGCCAAAGCCACGGCTTCGCGACACGCTATTGCTTCCAAAGTTGCTGGATCCCAAACTCCTGCAATGACGAGCGCTGAACTGCCCAGGTAGCTACCCTGACTGTCTCTGCATATAGCAGCGGCTGAACCTCCAATCTGGCCCCGAGTGCCCGCATCTACATGGATCTTCGCATAGTTTGCCGGGGGTGCTCTCGGTCGCACTACCCTTCTGTTCCCAGTCGTGAGGCGACCTTGTTTCTTGGGCTTTCTAAGCACGTCAAGCTCCTTGATATACCTGGTTATAAAGGCCGATATCGCATGTGGAGTTTGAAAAATTCCTTCATGTATGGCTTTCCTCCTAGATGTCCAAACAGCCCACATCGTCACTGCCACCAGGGTGAACTGCTCGTGCGAGAGGGACTCCAGCAGGTTGAAGAGCCAACTTTTGGCTCGGTTCTCCTGTGTAGCAGCAATGGCACTGCCTAGCTCCTCGTCCTTCTCTGCTCCTGTAGCGAGGGGGAGATGAGTGGGGTGTGGGTTGGGCCTCCCAGTAGACTTAGGGCCCAATTACACATTAGGTAGGCTTTTTGTTCTCTCATTTTTTTGTCAAATAAATAGCTATTGTTTGCATTTATTTTAGTGAGCAAACAATCTTTGTTATAGATGGAACTCCACACATAAGTATATGTCATTACTCTAGAGAGGCCCACAAAGTTTCAAGTCAAATTTGAAATTCATAAACATTTATTTGTTTTGAAAAGGCCAACATATTTGTTGTAGGACTACTCATTAATTTACTAGGAATTTATTGGTGAGTCAAATGAAGTTGGTTTCAACATGACAATGATCAGGGGAATTTATAGAATTACTCGAACATTTTAGTTTTGACATTTAAAAACCTTTATTGTTTTGCTTGATTTTGAATTTTAAAAATGAACGGGATTTGAATCATCACGAGATTAACAACAGTAACCGTTGTGACGTGGTATCATTAGCAGAGGTTACTGTAGCTTGATTATCCGGGCGTCACAAAGAGGGGCATAGCTAGTCCTATCGAAGACTACGCTTCTGACAGCCTCCGTCTTGCAGCATGTAGAAGAGAGTAGAGTGAAGTCCTCCAAGTAGCATCGGATAACATAATCCTACCCGGCGATCCTCCCCTCGTCGCCCTGTGGACGCCCTGTGGAAAAGCGATCACCGGGTTGTCTGTGGAACTTGTCTGGGTGTGTTTTATTAAGTATCCGGTTCTAGTTGTCATAAGGTCAAGGTACAACTCCAAGTCGTCCTTTTACCGAGGGACACGGCTATTCGAATAGATTAACTTCCCTGCAGGGGTGCAACACATAACCCAACACGCTCGATCTCATTTGGTCGGGCACACTTTCCTGGGTCATGCCCGACCTCGGAAGACCAACACGTTGCAGCCCTACCTTGGCACAACAGAGAGGTCAGCACGCCGGTCTAAATCCTATGCGCGCAGGGGTCTCGGCCCATCGCCCATTGCACACCTGCACGCTGCGAATGCGGCCAGTGAGCAGACCTAGCAACCTCCATTACAAAGGAAGTTGCATTACGCGGTCCAACCCGGCGCGCGCCGCTCAGTCGCTGACGTCAAGAAGGCTTCGGCTGATACCACGACGTCGAGTGCCCATATCTTCCCCGCGTAGTTGGTTAGTGCGTATAGGCCAGTGGCCAGACTCAGATCAAATACCGAGATCTCGTTAAGCATGTTATTATGAAGCAACTGCAAACGCCGACCAGGGCCAGGCCCACCTCTCGCCTAGGTGGTCTGAACCTGCCCTGTCGCTCCGCCACAAAGATCCACACAAAGGGACGTCGGGACAAAGGTCCTTTCAGCCCCCAATCTGTGAATCACTCGCGGGCACTCAATGAGCCGACCCAACTTTAGTCACCATCTGTATAATATGCATATATGTATAGTATATACCCGTGATCACCTCCCGAGTGATCACGGCCCGATAGTATAGCAAGGTAGACTGACAAGAATGTAGGGCCAATGATGATAAACTAGCATCCTATACTAAGCATTTAGGATTGCGGGTAAGGTATCTATGACTGTAGCAACAATGACAGGCTATGCAACAGAATAGGAGTAACCGAACAGTAACATGCTACACTACTCTAATGCAAGCAGTAGAGAGAAGAATAGGCGATATCTGGTGATCAAGGGGGGGCTTGCCTGGTTGCTCTGGCAAGAAGGAGGGGTCGTCAACTCCATAGTCGAACTGGGCAGTAGCAACGTTGGTCTCGTAGTCTACCGGAGAGAAGAGGGGGAAGAAACAATGAATACAACGCAAACATAAGCATGACAATGCATGACATGTCAAGTAATGGTGCTAGATGTGCCCTAACGCGGTAGTAGGTGATACTGGCGAAAGGGGGAAACATCCGGGAAAGTATCCCCTGTGTTTCGCGTTTTCGGACAGGTGAACCGGAGGGGGAAAGTTGCGTGTTTGCTATTCTAGGGATGTGTGGCGGACGAATGGGCTGCGTATCCGGATTCTTCTCGTCGTTCTAAGCAACTTTCATGTAGAAAACATTTTCATCTGAGCTACGGTTTATTTTCTATGTTTTTCTAAAGTCTTAAATCATTTTTAGAATTTATTTATTTAATTAATTCTAACATTATCCAGAATAGTATCTGCTGATGTCATCATGACGTCAGCAATCAACAGGGCGTTGACTGGTCAAGCTGACGTGTGGGTCCCAATGGTCATAGACTCAGGTTAACAAAACTGATTAAATAGACTAACTAAGTAATTAGGCTAATTTATTTTAATTAGATGAGTTAACCAGGATTAATTAACTTAATGAATTAATTATCTAATTAATTATTGATTTATTTATTCCAACATTTTTTTATTCTTTTTATTCTCTCCTTTTTTTAAATCGTTCTGGGGTGGGGCCCCCTTGTCATAGGCCCCAGGAGGCCTTAACGGGCGCTGGGTGCAGGGTGGTCCGAACGGGCGCTACGGGCACCCGACCGCAGGCAGAGGCCATGGCCCGACGCGGCTGGGCGCCGGCGGCCAAGGCGCCGGCCAAGGGAGGCGGCGGAGGTGGCCGCGGGGTGAGCGGGGGAGGGCAGCTGCAGAAGCAGCAGCCGTAGTGGCTGCAGCAGTAGTAGGCAGCCACGACACGGGCACACGCGACCAGGGCGCTGGCGAGTACGGGGCAGCGGGAGCAGAGGTGCGCGCGGGGAACGACATGGCTGGACGTGGCCGCAATCGACGACGGCGAGCTCGCGGACGACGCGTGCGGAGAGAGGAGGAGAGACCGCGCCTCACCGCGATTCGTGGGGTCAAGGGCAGCGGGCTCGAGCTCAAGGAGGAGGACGGGGACGACGGGCTGTCGAGGAGGCAGACGGACGGCGAGCTCTGGGCGGCGGCGTCGGTGGTGATGGTGGTAACGGCGTCCGGCGTGGTGGTCCTCCAGGCGGCGGTGGCGGGGTCGTGGTGGCAGTCCTCCGGCGTGGTCACGGTCGGCGAGGCGAGGGGCGCCGTCGAGGGAGAGGGGACGGAGCGCGAGGACGAGGGCGGGGGCCGGCGTGGCGGCTCCAGGCGACGGTCACGGGGCCAGCCCCGATCCGATCTG